GTAAGGGAGCAGGTGAAGGTGATGATGTGGGTAAGGGAGCAGGTGAAAGTGAGAGTGCGGGTTAGGGAGCGGATGAGGGTTAGGGAGTGGGTGAGCGGGTGGATAGGTGGATGAGAATGAAAGCGTGTATAGGTGACTGAGGCTGTGAATGTGGTGCCGGTATGAATGGTTGTGCGTGTTGATGAAAAACAGTCGCACCCATACTTGAAACCCTCACTCACACCCACACCCGTTTTCTCATCTGCCAAATATGTACTATCAAATTTTTCCGATCAACAGCGAGTACTCCCGCTAGTAGAATATAATTATTAAAAACATGTGTAAATCATATAGGCATGGTCAAATAGCTTTTTTTATTTGAAATAGAATGAATACCATGCACAAAATATCCACATTAACAAATAGGATAAAAGAATTCTTAAAAAAGAACTCGACAACACATGTTAATGACGGCAAGATTGTAGACATTATTTTTTGCATTTTGGAACTTCGGCCCAACAATGATCATCGAGTACATAGCCATACTCTCCCTCAGATGTTTCAATATGATACCATTTTTTTGTTTTATTTGGAAGTTTTTCGATTTTAAAGCAGTCGCATGGATAGTTTTGATAAGCTTCGACATACATATATGGTGGACAGTCCCTTGATGCACATGTGTGAACACCAGTCATTTGACGACACATAGCTTCACCACCCTGATCATATCAAAAGTAAAAAATTTCAGATGTTAAGATATTCGATTAAGACAAAACTTTACCTCACATAGTACTGCACCAAGAATTAAAAGCATCAAAGACACGATAATAAATCGATCCATTTATAATTTGATTTGTCTGTATTGTAATAATATAAGTTTATTCGTTTCGAAGTAAGTAATTTTATAAATTGAGAGCATCCTTTTATACAACAATAAAAATGTGACCTTGGAAATTTAATGGGGAAGTATTAGTATGTTGGAAACTATACTTCATAGATACTTTTTTCCCGGATGTAGATGACACATAGCTAATCACGAAAAAAGCATCAGGAGATTCGAAAAGGGAAGAAAGAAGCGCTTAGTTTGCGTAGTATACTCATCATTCTTCAATTTGGATAAAAATCTCTCTTATCATTTTTCCAGTTTAAAAGATTGTTTTATATTCGTCATACAATGTTATTCAAAAGCAAAGTCCAATCATTCTTTGAATCGATTGGTCTATATGTGAAACTAATTCTTCTTCCGACTTAATCATCCTATGTACTTCCGAGGAGTATCTAAAAAAGACATCTTTATTTCTACGTGATGATTCACGCGTTTTCTTTTTTCTTTACTTCTTCGTTTTTCATATTATCTTGCACTGTTAGGATCATATAATCGCAGTTTTTAAGCAAAAATGAAAAAGAAGACATTTTTATGCTTAGCAATGGATGTGACAGTCGATTAAGGAATTTAGTTAAATTTGAATGATAATATAATAACAAAATTAAAATAATATTTTATTAGCTTTAACTTTAATGGATAGAATTGTTCTTTTTTTATTAGATTTTTCTTATCTATATTTGTGTTGTTATGCATCGAAAAGAAAAAAAATTAATCTTTTATAGATAGGTTTAAATCATTTTGAACTGTAGGTCATTGATTTTACATTAAAAACAAAACGTAACCTTTTTTCTTAGATAGCAATTTTTTGACATGCAATATTTTCTTTATGAATTTTTTCGTCAAGGGATATAATATAGAACGGATTCGATGAATAATGATATAGGTTGAAAATATAGTATTTTATTAATAGTTTTAATATGGACGTATGGTTTTCATTTGAATAATTTAAGTATGAATAATGAAATAAAAACAAATTTTTTATTGAAATATATGAAGTAGTTAAATGAATGAAATTGATATTATTGTTAAAAAAGAAAAACAATTATTGATATAGTTTCTTAATCTTTTTCGATAGTGATTTTTTCTTCTTATCATTGTCTTCAAGAGAATGACTCTTTTGTTTTGTTGCCTGTTTAGTTCGAAACGAGATTTTTGTATTTTTTTGTAATAACTGATGACGATGGTTCAGAATTCGTTTTATCCAAAATATAGAAAAAAAGTGCTCATGTTGATTGAAAGAATCACTAAATAAGCAGACATATAAAAGTGATACGCAATTCAAATATACAGCGTGATGAAAAGTATCACTACAAATTATCAAACTGAAAACACATCTTGACACCACACCCACATCTTTAACAAAATAATATGTAATCGAAGATTATCAGTCAAATTATTGCATCATGAAAATAACAGCGATAGGTTCGAAAGGTATACCAATAACAAGAATCAAAATCAAGGGATACTAATAAATGAAATTTATATTTGATTACTTTAAAAATCAATCTTTACTATTGATCTAAAAGAGGTAAAGAAAGAAAACTAAATAGACCCCTTTTTTTTGTCTAATGATAAAATAAAGTAAATTTGACCTATTGATCAAATATAAATTGATAAAAGTATGTATATTTAAACGAATAATTTCGTCATTTCAAAATAAAATTATCTTTTATCTAATAAAAACATTCTTTAATTGATTTTATAACTTAAAAATGTATTCTAAAACGAATATTTTCTATATAATATTCATTGGATTTATACTATTACTTGACACTGAGAGTTATCCATATTACGAACCATTTGAACATCATCATCATCATGGATATGAAGGAAGTAAGTAGAAATTTTTCTTTTTTTCCAATCTTTTCTAATAAATAACGAGTGAATAATATCTCGAGGATTTTTATCTGTTATCATTTCTCCCATCGTGAAAACAAAAAAACTTGATTTATTACAGATTATGGCGCATATCCATATCAAGGAAGAGCTCAATGTTTTTCTGCTGATTCATTAATTAAATTATCAAATGGTGAATATAAACAAATTGATAATCTTAAATCCGGTGATGAAATCATAACTATTGAACAATCAAAAATCATCTCAACAGAAATGATAATGATGCTAGATAGACAAATTTCAAAAGAAGGTATATTTTATTTTAATATTATTCAGAATAATATATAAAATAATTTTATTTGTAGCATTATTTTATAAATTAACAACAGATTCTGGTAATGAAATAAGTTTAACAGAATATCATTTAATTCCAATAATGAATTTCACTGGAAATAAAAATTATTTATTTGCAAAACAAATTCAAATAGGAGATTATTTATTTGTTTTATCTAATGATAAATTAATACATTCTCCAGTAGTAAATATAACAATTGAAATGAAAAAAGGTTATTATGCACCATTAACAATGAAAGGTACATTATTAATTAATAATATTTTAGCAAGTTGTTTTGCAAATATTAATGACCATTATTTAGCACAATATTCGATGGCACCTTTTCGTTATTATTATAAATTTACTCGATTAATTTCTTTACGCGATCCATTTAATATTAATAAGACTGAAGGTTTACATTGGACAGTTAATTATATGTTTCATTTCGCACGTTATTTTAAATCAGATGTATTATTTTTATGATAAAATCATATCTTTTTTTTTTGCTTTCATATTTAACAATAATCAATTGTTCTATGCTCTTGAATATTTTAAATGTTCAAAAATCTCTCATATATGACTTTGTAATATTAGAAAACTTTCAATACAAACATGAGGAAAGAGGCTATGTGTGGGTTAGTATTTATGTAAGAGTCACGAATAATAAAAACAGCAGTCACACACCGTCGTGTACCACACTCACCCTTAAGTAAAAGGAAAAAAACGTGAATATACACAAATCATTTCTAAGATTATTTCAATGAGAAATAGAAGGCAAAGAGCATTTGTCCAAAATTAATATCATTGTTTTGTTTGATCGTATCTTGTTATCATCATTACAGCAGTACTTTCCAATTATAAAAATTTCCCGTCCCTAGTCAAAGAACTCATACCGGAGTACTCAAAAAGTACTCACGCTAGAAAATGTCACGAGAACTCATGAGTACTTATTATGTTTGAGTACTCGTGTGTTGTATTTGTCATGAACGTTAAGTGTTCGAGTACGACTGGCGAGTACTTATATAAAACTGCAGAGTATTTAAGTACTATAAACAACTACTCGTTTCTAATTTTGCGAGTACTGTATTGATACATTTCATATAGGACAATATTTGTATTAGTTTTTAATTTATTGATATAATCTGGCTTTTGATCATGTAACAGTAACAAGGTTAACATAAAAAAGAACATAAGTAGTAGGACCAAGATAAAATATGATAAAATATTCAATATAAAAAACAAAGAAAAGACAGTGAAAAAAATAAAAC